AAGTGTTAAAACTAATAGGTCTCAACTAAGAAGAGGTGAATTGGATTAAAATTTTACACCTACCCTTCTTTAAAAAAAATGCAATGTATATTACTATTTTGAGCGAACTTTCTTAATCAATACAATATGTAAAAACATGTAAAGAAAGAAATGCATGATACACACAAGATTTTATACTGGTTTGACTTAAATGAGAATACATTTAGTCTTCTTCGAAACAACTTAAGTTTGAAAGAAAATACACTATAAAGATGTAGATATTAGAAATTACAAGTTTGCCTATGCAACATTAACCTCTAACAATCAATAATCACTCTTTAAGGTAAAGCTTCACACAATCACCCTTAACCCTTGCCTTCACAACAATTATACATAGTAATGATCAAGTTTACAACAAACGTAAAGGAAAGAAAGCACCTCAAGTGTATATTTCAAACCAACAAAAACCAGACTAATTCACCATTCATCTACATTTAACCATGCTTGAAGGTTTCTTGTCTTTGATTTTCACTTATGAAGGTCTTTTGTTCTCCAAAAATGCTTTCAAGTTATTCTTGCTTCATAAATCAAAGTTCTGAGTTGCTTCGCCGTATTACATAATAAAGACAAGACCCATCTATATACAAAAACATGATACTCATATTTTTAATATATTTTGATTTTAATATAATGGATTAAAATAGAGAGCAAGCATCTCTTGACATACATTTTAACATATTCAATAATAAGTTAAGGTCAAGTATTTCTATCTCCTTCCACTTCAGACATCATCAAAAACCAATCAAACAATTTTGAACATCATAAAAAACCTATTACTAATTATGCTCCCCTCTCAACTTCCATATACTAATTAGACAAATCTAATAACATATATTAAACAAGTTTGTCAATACATTAATTAAATCAGTCTAACAACTCACATTACCTTAGTCTATTCGTATATTAATTTATATTGTTAGCAAATCAACTCCAAATATTGCTCCATATCATTTATAGCTTGCACATATTTTATCATTTATACTTTTACAAACTCTACTATTTATATTTTTCTATGCTTATTGGACTTTTAAACCTATAAATTAATTTTAAGGTTGATTCTATATTCAAAACTTAATTACGAACTTAAAAATATTTATTATTATTTTTCTCGATTTCTAATTCTCTTTTAATAAACATATGAACCAACATCAATCAATCCGTACGTAAACACATGTTTAAAACTAGCATAATTATTAAAAAAATTCCATCATTTTCACTTTCAACATTCAATTAAAGGTAACCGTGACAAACATTGTAGGTGTTAATATTTTTTCTACACTTAATTAACTTCTGAACTAAATTTTTGTTTTGAAGATCATTGTTTCTTTTACAAGCTTTTCTAAAATAATTCTTAATAAACTATTGTAGTGAATCTCCTGAGTTTTTTTTAATGATTTTCAAAATCCGGTGGAAAAAAAGGATTATCAATCAGGGACAATAATAATTAGTAACCAAAACAACTTGATATACATTATATAATAAAAGAGTAACCTATAACAAACTAAAATTTAAGACTACATAAACGTATATATATGATAAACCTACCTATAACAAGGAAACTCACTTGATTTAAACCCACATTTCCCAAGTGATATTCATTTGATGATGTGCTCAACCTTCAATATTATCAACACCTTGACTCAACTCAATAAGAAGATTGAAGGATCATTTCCGAAAACAGAGCCTGGACCTAAGAAGTTCAATTTTAGGTTAGAACACATTGATCTAAAAATCCATTTTGTATTTTTAATAAAAATCCAAATACACATAAGACACATATAAATCCTCAATTTTACTAATTTATGATTTTTAAAAAGGAAAATTTGATGTAATTGTGCAATAATTATTAAAGCATTCCAAAAAAAATAAAAATAAAAACTCACCAAAAAAGGCATTTTGAATTCGATGAAGCTCCCTGCTGACATCAACCACATCCATTCTTTCTTTTGGTGATTCCACAGCACAGGCAAGTCCAATTTTAAAAAGTGAAACTAAGCACTTCTCAACATTTGGATTAAGATTCCAATGATTTTCCTCAATCGGAATAAGTAGCGGATCCAAAATTTCAAAAAGTTTACTGGGAAATGAATTTGCAACAAAGTTACAAATATTTTGACCATCTTCAAACATTTCATCAGTAGGTCTTCTCCCAGTAAGCATTTCCAGCAAAAGAATTCCAAAGCTGTACATGTCGCCAGAAGTTGACACTTCAGCACCCACTCCATACTCTATCATTATACAAAACTATCAATACACATAAGAAATAACATATTCACAGCACAAACTTGTGAGAATTCAAAGCAACTAAACGATTCAAAAACAGAAGAAAATACCTGGAGGAGCATAGCCAACAGTCCCCTTTATTGCAAGTGTACTTGATTCTTTGGAGGTAATACCTTGGATTGTTGAGAGAAGTCTTGCTATGCCGAAATCACTTACATGAGCAATCATCTCATCATCAAGAAGGACATTGCTTGGCTTTAAATAACAATGAATGATCGACTGCTCACATTCATGATGAAGATATTGTAATGCAGAAGCTACGTCAATCATGATACTTAATATTTGTTTAAGGCTCAATGTTCTTGGATGCTCAACACTTGTTGTGGTAGGATGCAACCATTGCTCCAGGCTTCCATTTCTCATGTACTCAAAGATCAAAGCTTTGAATTCTTGACCTTTATAATCTGTGCTGGAACAACATGTCAAAATCTGAACAAGATTTCGATGTTTAATATTTTTTAGTGCATTACATTCTGCCACGAAGCTCTTGTGAGCTCCTTTTCTTTGCAGGTTTAGAACCTTTACGGCAACAACTCTGTCTTCGAGATCAAGAGTTCCTTTGTAGACAGAACTGAAATTCCCACTCCCTATCAAGTTTGTAGTTGAGAACCCATCAGTTCCATTGTACAAGCTTTGGTATGAAACTTTAGTGTCGGAGTGTCTTTGCAGGTACCCAACCCATTTTTCCTCAAAGAGCTTTACACAGGAAGGAGACGCGACGGCAACAGTATCACTGGAAGGAGTAAAGGTGATTCATTACACACGTATCTCGGCCTACACAATTCTACCGAAACAAAATATAATAAAATTACAACATATTAAACTAAATAGTAAAATATATAATTTTATATGTATATATAAATAATATTGATTCTAAACGTTAGTTAATGTTTTTTTAGTGAGTCAAACTTACCTTAATATTAGTTTTATTCTACTTGAGAAGAAGTTTTGGAAAATAGTTTCTTTTGGATCCACTTGATGGAACTTCCTAAAAGAGAGCTTTTTCATGAACGAGTTAGGAATCCATGAATCACATATCAAGTTGACAATCTAACTGGGAGATAGTGAAAGAGGTGAATGCATCTTATAAAAATTATATAATTTTAATCTTTTATTCTTAAATGTTAAAACAATATTAACATCTATATAATGACATATGAATTTTTATCTAATTATTGTAATACTGTTAAGTCAACATATATAACTGATTGGTTGTGGTTTAATAACTTCAAAGAGTGTTGGTCACATTTTTGTTGGACTAGGTCATTCTCTACGGGTTGGTCATCAATGGACCTTTAGCGTGTCGTATCGGTCATTCTGTTGACTTTAACGTGTAGTATTGGTTATTATCTTGACTTTAAATTTTCTTTTCCCATCTTATTTTCTAGATTTTCCCATTTTTAAATTCAACCTTGCTAGTCTGGCATGTCTAAACTCATAAAAGACGTGAGAAGTTATAAAACGTTCAACAATTTAATTATATTCTAATTCACTTATTTATATATAACAACTTTAACCGTAAAAATTACTTACGATCTGAGATGCATCTTATACACATCAGTTATTTTTGTCACCTCTATTCTTATTCCTTGTTGCGGTTAAATATTTTTCTCCTAACTTTATCTATTTTTATTTTGGATCCCTGAACTTCTATTCTTATGTTTTCGTCCCTGTACTTCTGAAAATGTTGTTTTTAGACATGTTGAGATGGTCATATAAATATTCTTTCAAGCATTACTCTTTAGCTGAAATGTCCTAACGAGTGTCCCTACAAGAAGAAAATTCCACACTACGCGGTGTGCTGGTGAAAATAAGAAATGTGCAATTAATTAATTTTATATTTGAGAAATGTTAATCTATTTTGCAAGTTGTTGATGGATTTTTTTATCTTAATGGATCTAATTTAGGTTAATATGATCTATATGTCGTAATAGCTTATTAAGATTTGATTTTGTGGTTATCAGTCTAATATCGTTATAACGCAATTAATTTTATTATTATCTCTTCAGTTTATTGGTATTTATTCAATTTCGAGGCCATCTAAGCCCTAAATAATACACTTTTCATTCCACTTTTATATATTTCTTATTTTTTCTTCTATTTATTTATTTTTATTTAATATTTTGACTTATATGACCAGAGAAAATGTTTTATGGAATTTGGGAAATTATTTTAGAATGGAGATGCAAATGATATCTAAAAAAAATATAAGGAAAAGAAAGCATTTTAAATAGAATACTTCTATCCTTTGTTTGAACTACTCTATTTGATGTATTTGTTGTGGCAAAAAGACATCTAGTATAGAAGACCCCGAATTAATATTTTAGGGGAGAACCTATTAGAATATGGCAAGTATTATATTTACCCATCAAAACTAGAATTTCACATATATGATATATAGGGCTGGGCAAAAATAACTAATTGTACTGAATTATAGTTAATTATACTATACTAAAAAACTAATTTGTTTTTACTAAAAGTTAAATATACTACTTTAGAGTTTAGTTTTAAAAAAATCGAACTTATGATGTTTTCAGTTCAGTTAACTACGAGAATTGTGTTTTTCCATCCCTCTTTCGTTTCCAATTATTCCTAAAACGTGACCTAGTCCGCGTTGCTCACCATGACGCTGTTAGCGAAGGAAAGCTCGAACAAAACCTCAGAGCGATCCTGCTGTGACTCTGCCCTAGCTCGTGTTGCCCACTGTTGTCGTGGAAAGAGAGCTCCAACGAAAACCCACAGTGTCTTTGCAAATCATTAATAATTTGGTATCATTCAAGTGGAGAAACATATATTTTCACTAAGTCTTTATGGGGATTGAAAATGAATTATATTTGTAACAAGCTTTGTATAAACAATATGTATGCACCAACTTGAGAAAGAGTGTTATATATATTAATTTATTAGATATCTTATCTTTAACTTTTATCTTTAGTTAGTTTACTATTCTTTATTTGTATTTTAGCCCTAGTCCATATTTCTTCTCACCAGTACAAAATAGGCTTCTTAAGTATGTTATTTTGTGCTTTTTAAATCTGTTTTAGAACAGACTTAGATTCGGCAGACTTAAATTTTAAATCTGTTATTAAGCAACAAACTTAAATTTTAACTCTGTTGAGAATAAACAGACTTAAATTTTTCATCCAAAATTGCAAATCCAATATATATTCCATTACCACCTCAATCAACCACCAAAAAATTCATCTTTCTTATATAAATTTCCATACACAATAAAGATAAAATTGGAATATAATACAAGTAATTATTCTCTCAATTCAATTCATCTTAACAATAAAAAAAAATACACTAAGAACCCATAAATCCAATCACATTCTTTACATAATGTAATACAAACTAGAAATAGAGAAAGAGGAATTAGAGTAATTAGTAATCACTC